AGGAGCATCCCTATGGAAGCTGCCTGGGTGATTTCGGAGCAGCCACAGACTTTCTGCCTAACCTACCTTACAGTGTTGCTGTACAGATCGCAAAGCCGAAGAGAATGAGGTAAGTTGCTTTGCTCCCCGCTAATGAGAAAGACAGAATTTTGCCTAGAAAGAGGCTGCTGAGAGGGGAGGAGATAACGTTGCCAGCTTTAGGTATGGAAATTCCTGGAGATTTGAGGGGTGGAGCCTGGGTAACAATTGTTGCCACTCTCCAGGTGAGGGCTAGAGAGCACTCAAAATTACAACTGCTCTTCAGGTTGCACAGATCAGTCCCTCTGGAGAAAACAGTGGACTCTGTCATTATACCCTGCTGAGGTCGCCACAGCAAATTGACACTGTTTGCCCAAAGACAGCGCACTCTCCCAGAGCCTCTTTCTAGATCCTGTTGTATTTATTTCCACAACGGGCCTTATTTCTAGTCAAGTAATAAGTTGGTTAACATGTTTTTTTATCATATATAGTAGAAATATATAAGATTAACCTGACTTTAGATTATATATAGTAGAAATACTAGTAGTTTATTTAGATTTGTGCTAGACTAATGAAATAAGCAGCTTTTAATATATACTGTTGCTAAGATGGAAGTTTCTGATATGGTGAAATATTAGCATTGTTATGTATGAGAAATTTGATTAGACACGATGACATTTTAACACTCTTGGGGGTTTGTTTTACTTTTTCTTTCTGAAAATTAATAAAATATTCTAAAAAAAACCCCTTGCAAATGACTTCTCCTGGCTGCCCCTCTATCTGCCCTCAAATTGTGTGTCAATTGGCTTTTGGGAAAGGGGGAAAGATCCGTCCCTTGAGTCCAATGTGCAACGGGGGGGGGGAGTGTGTCAAATGCGCTCCTCCCCGCAAGATAGAAGCATCAAACTCCCAGAGGATCTCCCCAGGCTGCCCTCCAAGTTGTGCTAGCTGAAAATTAAACAGAAGTAGAAATAGGGACCGGGGAATGGACGGAGATGTCAGGTAGCCCTGCCATAGTATTGGAATGTGAGGGGAGATATTATCTCCCTCCCATTCTCAGCGCTTCTTTGTCTAGCGCTCCACTATCTGCACGTTGGCCTTGAAGATGCTTTTCTATAATTTCCCGGGCCTGGGAACTGTAACTGCTTTAGGCGCAAAATTGCTTGCTTGCTGGCAGGGCCTGCGCATGAGAGAAAAATGTATTGGCTTCGCAGGTGGGGGGGGGGCTGTTTGAATATTCTATAAGTTAGTGGCCATCTTATTACAGGTCATTCTTAACACAGGCTGTATACATGTACTTTAATTCTGCGTTACCATAATAAACACCTATCTTCTGAAGAAGCCTGGGTGTGTGGATTACCTGCCTAAAGTTCCTGACAAAGTGTTAAGAATCATTATCTTCTTGACTCAAATCTCTACGTGGAGATGAGCAAAGGTGAGAAGGCACAACCCGACGGCAAGGACCAAACCTTGCCTGAGGATAACTCAGGTAGCACTGAGAAGGTGGAGAAGGATCCACAGGACACTGGAACGGAAGAAGATGTTCTCCGTGCTCCATTTGGGGGGACCCAGGCCCAGGTGACTACCTGTCTGCAGGGGCCCCGCTGGGGCTGATTCAGTGAGAACCCACATGAAACTTGGACTTTTTATTTGCCTATGGTGCCCGTCACTATGTCACTATGTGCCCGTCACTATGTCACTATGTCACTATGACAAGCCACCCAGCTTAGACAAGTATGAGACAGAGATTTGCGGTGATGTTCCCCTTTGTGCAGTTAAGGGGCCCAACGGGGTAGTGGAACATGAAGACACAAGTGAGGAGTTCATCGGCACCCGGTTGGACCTACTTGAGAGGGGGTTCAAATGGATGATGCTCAAGAACTCTCTTCAGGGACTCCCTACCATAGTCGCCACGGTGGTGCAGCAGGAAATTTCAGCGACAGTGCCCACCACAACTGGTACCGCAGGTACAAGCACCAGGAGCCCCGGCTCAGATTCCCGCGCCACAGCTACCCCCTTCTGTGGTTCACCCTCCCTTGAGACAACCGGGGCCCGGGGTTCTGGCAATCCTGGGCCCAGATCTCCATCACCCAACTGAGCCCCTGGATGCGACGTTTGATGGCTCTTCAGAGAGCCTGCAGTTTTTCGTGGTGTGTGGCCAAAAATTCGTAATGAATTGGGGCCACCTGTTTCCAACCGAATAACACAAAGTGGATTACATCGCTTCCTGGCTGAGGGGTGAGGCAGCGGGCTGGTATGTTGGTCTGCATAACAATGATGGACCGGAACTCTAGTCAGTGGACGCCTTCATGTGGGCCCTCCGGGCTCAGTTCAAAGATCCCAATGCAAGAGTGCAGGCAAGAGCCTTTTTACACACCTTCAAGCAAGGTAGACTGTCAGTCAAGGCATATACGAATGAATTCAGGAGGCAAGTGGCACAAATGAGAGGTTGGCCCAATGAGGTCCTGGCAGAGCAGTACCGTTTGGGCCTTAACCTGGAGGTCTGGGAGACAGTTCTGCATAGCGTCAACTCAATCTCCCTGAACGCCTGGATTCGTGAGGCAGTGGATGTAGAGACGCACCTGCGCACCATCAAACTTGATAACGCTACTACGGTGGGTAAGACGGTGCTGGCCTCACCTAAGCAGAAGGCACCCCCCTCGAAGAAAGAAGGAGAGACCTACGTATGAAACAAGGTCTGTGCCTGAAATGTGGATTACAGGGCCATTTTGTGGCCACATGTCCGTGGGGGGGGACATCACCCACCCCGCGAAGAAACCATCGTTGCAACGAAGGTCTGATACACCCATGAAGAAACCTTCTGTGAAGCCAAAGGGCCCCAAAGCTCTGCAAGCTAGCATCCCAGAGGAGATGCTAGAGTCGTCTAGTGAGGATGAGGACCAGTCGGCGGGAAATGGACAGGACCTGCACCAAGCGGCGTGGAGCAGCAGGTCCTGATCCCCGAGGTGCCAAAAACGGTGAGTGGATATCCCCCCCCTTTTTTCATTACCGTGCCGGTCCATAACCCTGAGCTCGGTACCCACGTCAGGGTACGAGCTCTCATAGACTCCAGCTGTGGGTGAGACCTGATTAACCCCTCATTGATTACGGGGCTGGGGGCTAAGGTTGTTTGATTAGCGGATCGTATTGTATTCACCCAAATGGATGGGTCTGCTATGAAAGAACCTTGCAAATACGACACTGTGCCGTTAAGGATGGGGGTAGGGTCCCATTGGGAGCACCGTCTCTTTATCATCACGGCAGCTGCCTGTTTTCCCATGGTGCTGGGAAGCCCGTGGTTACACACCCATGACTCGTACATACTCTGGGACGAGGGGCTAATGAACTTTATCTCTCCGAAATGTTCCTCACATGTCTGGGAAGACTCTTGGGGGGGAAGACCTCCTAACGAACCCCTCCAAGCCTGTTTGGCTGCTGAGGAGCTGGAGGCCATCCCAGTGGAATACTGGGATCTATCACGCAGAGGTCATTTCGGGGGGGATCGTGGGGGAACGCAGTTCCCCCGGGTGAGGTGTAGGGGGGCGGGGCACATGACGAAGCCCCGGCCGCCCCGCTTCTGGCCCTCATTCAGCCAGGAGGAGGCAGGAGAAGAGGGAGGGTAAGTTGCTTCCTCCCCGCCTCTCCCCACCTTGGCGGGGCTTCCTCGCACTCCCACTGGCCTTGCAAGTCCACCGCCAGGCCCCTGATGTCAGGGGGTGTGGCATATGCTAATGAGTTATGCTAATGAGTTCCCCTAGCTCTTTTTCTACGAAATGACCCCTGCTATCACAGGTCTTTGAAGAGGAGGAGGCTGACGAGTTGCCCCCTCAAATACATTATGACTGTGCCACTGAACTGCTTCCTGAGGCCAAATTACCAAAAGGGAAGTTGTATGCCATGAGCCCGATGGAGAAAGTGGAATTGTGCAAATTCATCAATAAGAATTTGGTGCACGGTTTTATCATACCCGCTTCCTCCCCCTTTGCAGCCCCAGTCTTGTTCCGGAGGAAAAAAGATGGGGATTTGCAGTTTCTGAGGGCTGAATGCGGTTTCAACTACAAATGCATACCCCCCCTCCCACTTATGAAAGATCTATAAGTTAGTGGCCATCTTATTACAGGTCATTCTTAACACAGGCTGTGTACATGCACTTTAGTTCTGCGTTACCATAATAAACACCTATCTTCCTATGAAGCCTGGGTGTGTGGATTACCTGCCTAAAGTTCCTGACAGGAGATGACTAAAGCTAAAGTCTAAAGGGGTAGGGTGGGTGCTCTGGGCCCTCCGGAGGAGACCCATACCAGAGTGGTGGCAGCCATTAGAGAGCTTTTCTAGCTTTTGCCCATGACAGAAGGTCTTGTGCAAACCTGAGCTGTGGAGCAGCAATAATGAAGCAACCCAAGCTAGATGTTGCATTGGTGAAGGCAGGAAGGAAAGAGGCACACAGTCACAGCCATAAGCTCCTTCAAAGCCTTTCGTGATCTGTAGGGCATGCATATGTACACAATGCTTGATGCTCAGCATTCTATGTAAAGCGTGAGAGATTGTTACAGTTTTTTCAGAATATATAAACATACCCAAAAGTCTGTTGCAGCCACAGAGCCTGCCCCCCCGATTCTTCAAGCCCTTCAACAAACAGAGCTCCCTTTGCAATAAAAGGTGCACACACGCACATTCTTCTCTGTCACCAGTATTTATTTGTTAACACATTACAGATTCAGCTGCAGCTGCTATCATACCAGGTTTTCTAGCGGCAGCACCAGATGCTCCCACAGCAGCAGGCACCATAGCTACAGCACCAGACTCTCCCAGGGCTGCACCAACAACCTCCATGTGATATCCTCTATGGGCCCATCGACTAGAGAAATAACAGCCCAGGATGGACACAAATATAATGAAAGAGCAAGCAATTGCTATGACCAGGGTAGTTGTAGAGAAGGGGAGGTGTAAATCTGTGGAACAAAAATAAATCAAGTCAAAAGCAGTTGCTGAATGAAGCAGATGCAAGATGGTTGGATTTTATGCTATCCAGCAGACTCACAGCACAGAACTCTTTAAACTTCCCAAGATTTGTCAAGCCTCTAAGAAAGTCTATAAAGTGAGGACTTCCTAGATACCAAACTCAAATGCAGAAATCCTTCACTTCACCCCTAATGGAAAGAATGAGTTATTGCCAGCCCCCTCTGGAGATGCTCAGAAGGGCAGCTACTTCAGTCCCACAGATCCATCTTGTTACTGAATGCAGGTTTCGGAATAGAGGCCTGGCTCAAAAGCAAGCCGAACCGTTATCACAAGTTCGACTTTTTCACATCCCTCCTAAGCCACAGACTCACTATCAGCCTTGCACCAGGAACTTGGTTTCTGTTTCAGGGCTATAAACTGGGAGAAATCTCACATTTTATATACCATCTTATTTCAGTGCTAAGGAAGGCAACTCAAGGTTGCTAAAAGAATGTAGAGTTTTTAACCAAAAGAATGATGAATGTTTTATTTTGTCCATTTGATGGAAAGACTCTTGCCACAATTAAAGGCAACACAGTCTTTAAAACAGTTAGACAGAAGGAGTCATGACTATAGCTTTGCTAATGCATGTATACAATGGGGCTGGCAACTGAGCTCTTAGTCCGTTACAAGACTTCAGTTGCTTAATGTCAGCCCACCAAAAATTAGTCCCCAAAACTAATTTTGTCACCTATCTTATAGTCAGTCTACCTACTGTTGATGTATAGCCTTCAAAAATGTTCCAAATTTCTGTATTTTACAAGTTACCAGACTGACAAAAAGGAAGCTTAAATCTACAATTAGTTGGTCATCCATCCTGAAAAACTTGAATACTCTTAGCATGCAGTAATGCAAACTTTGGGATCACTATTTTCCCACTAAGGCCTTGAAGCTCTGTCAAGGGTAAATCCTACACTGTTGCCCTCAACTTATCAGCTGGTGTGGTCCTTTATAGGCCTCACTCCTGGCCACAGAATCCACATCAACAAAACTGTTCTTTATTGCCAAACATGTGAAAATGTTGAACTCTCACCTGAGGAAGCATCTTCAATCACTTCCCCCCTCACGATTGTATTCACAAACTGGTTATGAGGCAACACGGTAGCATGAGGAGTCTTGTCTGTTGAGAGCAGTTCTGCTACATCCATCAGCTCAAAGGTGCTGGAAGTATACATCATAGAGGAGTTCACCTGCTGTGCTTCCAGTGTGATAGGGCCAAACTTGAGGTCTGCTCCAAACAGGCCTGCAAGGAAATAGCAGCTTGCTAATTCAGTGCTCTCCCAACACCGCTTGCTTGCACAATATTCTCCACATTCACTCACTGTACAATTCACCAATACAATAATCAAGAAAAGTCCTCTCCAACTATACAACATTGTTGACTTGTTTTTTTTTTTTTACAGGAAGTGAAAGCTCAAGGAGCCAGTGAGGCTAGTAATAGTCCCAGTTCATGTGCCAAATTCAGTCGACAAGAGTTTTACTTCTCAACTAAAGGTTCAGCAAGTATCCACAAGCCTAAAGGCTTCTCTACAAGCTGTTTTATGGAGAGAAAATGTTACCTTTCCTCTGCCGCTGTCCCCTTTTCCTCCTCTTGCTTCCACAGCCGGTAGGTGAAGCACAGCAGGAACAGTCCTTGCCTTCATGAGAGTTCCAAACGGCAGTCGTGTGGTCATAGGAACATGCCTTGTTGCGATGGTCTGTGGAGTCAGTGGACACAGCCTTCAAGTGGCATATGAGGTAGATCTAAGGAAGCAGATTAGACCGTATATTTAGTATCAAGCATTTAGGGAGGGGAATGACTGATATTAATGCAACATATTGGCATAGGTGCACACTCACCCAATGGCCATGAAATTATGACACATGACTACACCCTACACTGATCATTTGCTAAATTCAAGGCCTTTGGGGAAAGAGGTCTACTTATAGGGCTCCTATACTATAGCCTGCTTGAAAGTCTAGCAGTAGGATGGCTTTTAGTCACCTACTCAGTGTTGTTTATCTGACAATGTGTCAGATCTAGTTCTCTCCATGTACTTACAATTCCAAAATAATCATTGTCTTCAAGACCAACCAGCCAATGAGTGCCTCAAATAATACTTCTGTTAAGCTAGCACTCAACACAAAAGAGAAAAGCAAGGCAAACCAGCAACTTCACTTTCTTTGGCCTGACCAAAGTCAGTTCCATTGGAATATAGAGTGAAAGATAAAGGAGCACCAAGACCCAAAAAACTGATATGCGTTCTAAATAGTTAAAAACGGACTCTGTGGTGATACAAGTTCCTCTACCTGGGAGTAGGTAGAAAGCAGGCATCATAGTTTAAGAAATAGTTTGGTGTTCTTCACACACTATTCAGAGGAGGACAAGTATTTTACTGTGCAGCTTGTTCCACATTGTTATGTCTTGAGAGACATAATGGTAAAAGCTTGATCTACCATAGCTCATTATGCGGATTGTAAATACTGACCAATGGTGTGTATTCTGGAGGGAATGGGTTTGATTGGACGTTATGTAACGATCGTGATTGGATGTAACAAACCTAATGTGATTGGTTGTTGTGCAACATTGTAGGTGTGGCTATCTCAGTCAGAATTGTATATAAGTTGCCGTTTTGCCTATGGAAGTTGTCTAGCTGGTCTAGCACCTACAAGGCTGAGCCTTCATGCTGTTATCACTGAAATAAAGCTGAAATCACTTGTTGAACTGTTCCTCCGAGTTAAGTGTCATACTTAACACACATTCTTTTTAAAATTGTGTTTAACTATGATCCTTACAAAGATTAGTTAAGAGAACTGAGCAGGGAGTGTTCAGAAATAATACATTATAAAAAATTGTGTGTTGTCAAGTCACAACTGACACATGGCAACCCCAAGACCATGAGATTTTCTAGGCAAGAGATGAGCAGAGATAGTTTCCCATTGCTTTCCTTTGCCCAGCAACCCTGGTCTTTCTTACTGCTCTTCCATCCAAGTATTAACGGTGGTCTACCCTGCTTAGTTTCCAAGCTCTGATGAAATCAGGATAGTTAAGGGCTATTCAGGCTGCTTAAATTCATTATTTATTTATTATACTAGGCTTTTATACCACCCTCCTCACAAGCAGGCTCAGGGCGGTGTACAACAAATTCCTATAAAAAAATATATAAAATCATTAAATAGTCTAAAAATACAATTCTATAAATATTTAATGCCCACATGGCACCGCAATACAATCCTAACAGCAGGGGGGAGGGGTGAAAGCAGTTAGTGAACCAAATATCTGTTGGCAACTGTTAACCATTAGACCATTGATGTTAAACCCAGAGTTCCGGTTCCTGGCTGAGAGAAACAAGACTCTCAATTCCTGCTCAATTCCTACTTTTCCTCAGTCTTCTCTTGTGTTGGATCCCCAAGCATCGAGAATAAATCCACGTTTTAAAGAAAAGCAAAATTTATTTCAAAGCGTTGAAGACATACTCAAACACGTTCTTTGTTAGAACTGGGGATACACAGTTAGGTCAAGCATAATAAAGGAACTTCAAACAGATACAGATCCAATGAATATCTTTCCCGCTGGCGGGCTAAGGAAACGGTTGCGCGCCCAGTACATGAGAACCAGGCAGAACATCAGACAAAACACAGGTGCAGTAGTCCTGGGAAAATCAATAGGCAAGCATTACAGCATCTTCTCCCCCACACAACCTCCAGCAGTTATCTTTTGCATTCCAAAGCAGGAGCAGGATGATAGAAGCCAAGCCGGGTGTAACAGGGAAAGGATATGTACACAGAGGTCACAGAAAACAGAATGGCAGCTTGCTGACATACTGCCCCCCTTAAAATACACTTACAACACACCTCCCGGCCTGGGCGGGAGACCTCCCGGGCTGGGCGGGAGACCTCCCGGTTTGTCCGGGAACCTTCTGTGGAAACTACGGATCAGGTAAGGGGCCCGAATATCCCCTTCTTCCACCCATTCGCGGTGCTGGGGACCGAAATCAACCCATTCGATAAGGTACCAGAGTTTACCACGTTTCACTTTACAATCAAGGATATCAGCAATTTCAAAATGTTCATCCCCTTCCAATATGACAGGCGGAGGAGGAGTAGTCTCTGGTCTCCAAGGAGACGGTCCAGGATCCTTCTTCAATAGACTCATGTGAAAGACAGAATGCAAGGCACGTAAATTCTTAGGCAAAACAACATCAACTGCCACATCATTTATGACTTTACGCACTTTGAACGGACCAATGAACTTCCATCCCAATTTTCTGCTAGGCCGCAGCATCTTAATGTTCTTGGTCGAGACATACACAAGATCCCCAGGTTTCAGATCAAACCCCACCACCCTACCCTTGTCTGCCTGGGTCTTGTAAGCAGCCTTGGCTGCGTCAAGTGTTTGGCATAGCAGCGGCCATGCTTTTTGCAAGGACATACACCATGTATCAGCATCCCCCACAGGACGTTGGCCCATCCCCTCCAAGAAAGGGAGGGGGGGACTGTCGTAACCAGATACAGCTTTATAAGGAGACATGCCTGTGGAGCTATGGACCGTATTGTTATAACAATATTCAGCAAGAGGCAATAATTCACACCAATCATTCTGTTGATAATTAGTAAAACAACGCAGGTATTGTTCCAGAGTCTGATTAACCCTTTCCGTTTGTCCGTCAGTTTCGGGATGATACGCGCTGCTGAGCCCTTGTTCGACCCCTAAAATGGAAAGAAGTTCCCTCCAAAATTTAGAAACAAATTGGGTCCCCCTGTCAGAAATTAACTTAGCAGGTAATTGATGAATTTTCACCACGTGGGACATAAACGATTTCGCCAACCTCTGAGCTGTAGGCAAGGAAGGAAAAGGCACAAAATGAGCTTGCTTAGAAAACAAATCAACAACCACCCAAATAACAGTGTTCCCTTTGCTCGCAGGGAGGTCAGTAATAAAGTCCATGGACACCACTTCCCATGGTCTCGACGGAGTAGGAAGTGGCTGCAGTAAACCAGGAGGCTTGCCCATCCTGGGTTTAGTTAAGGCACAGGTTTGGCAGGACCTAACAAACATCAAGAGGTCTTTGCGCATTTGTGGCCACCAGAATTGCCTGCGGATGAGTTGCAAAGATTTAACGAAACTCCAATGCCCTGCCAGTTTCGAACCGTGAGCAGACTCCATCACCTCCCTCCTCATCGAAATAGGCACATACAATTTGTCTCCAGAATAAATCAGACCTTCAGGGCTACGGACACAATCAGGTAATGTCTTAAGGGAGGCATCATCCTCAGCAGTAAAAGCAGAAAGATATTTCTGGACCCAGGCCCCCCCTCCCACAGGGAACAGGGAAGGCGAAGTCTCATCAGAGTGTGGAATCGTTCGCGCCTGCGCCCGGGTGACTACGGCCCCCCCCAGATGGGAGGGGGAAAAAACAGAGTCCATGATGATCTCACGCTGACTGTCATGTTGTGGGAGGCGTGAAAGCGCGTCAGCCAGGGAATTAGCCGCCCCCGGGAAATGACGAAGTGTGAATCGAAACTTAGCGAAGAAGTCCGCCCAACGAAGTTGCTTAGCGTTGAGAGAACGGGGGGATTTCAGCATCTCCAGATTCTTATGATCAGTCCAGACTTCAAACGGCAGTTGCGCCCCCTCCAGCCACTGCCTCCAAGTGGAGAGAGCCAGCCGGATCGCTGACGCCTCCTTTTCCCAAATCCCCCAGTTTCGTTCGGCATCAGAAAACTTTTTAGACACAAATGCCAGGGGATGTAACCGACCATCTTCCCCTTCTTGCAAAATAGCGGCCCCCATAGCCACATCCGAGGCATCAGTTTGGACAATAAACTTCTTAGATTCATCAGGGCGCGCCAGCACCGGCTCGGAGGTGAACATCAGTTTAAGTTTCTCAAAAGCCTCTGCGCAAGCAGGGGACCATTTAAGCGGGGCGCCAGGTTTCGTAGCATCAAAACCCTTCCCTTTGGTCTTTAGCAACTCAGTCAGGGGAAGGGCAATTTGCGCGAAATTCTGGATGAAATTTCTGTAAAAATTGGCAAATCCGAGGAACATTTGCAATTGTTTGCGGGTCCTGGGGGGCTCCCAGTCAAGCACTGCCTGAATTTTAGCAGGGTCCATTTCAACCTTCCCCCCAGAGATGCGGTATCCCAAAAAGTCAATGCATGTCTTGTGGAATTCACATTTTGACAGCTTAGCAAACAAGTGGTGTTCATAAAGTCGCTTAAGGACCTGGCGCACCAATTTAATATGCGACTGGAGGTCCTGAGAGTACAGCAACACATCATCAAGGTAAAGGACCACTCCTTTGAATAGAAACTCATGTAGGACCTCATTGATTAGGTTCATGAAGACCCCCGGAGCCCCTTGAAGGCCGAAGGGCATAACGAGGTACTCAAACTGCCCCAAAGGGGTATTAAATGCAGTCTTACTTTCATCCCCCTCCCGGATGCGCACACGGAAATATGCATCCCGGAGGTCAAGTTTCGAGAAGATCTTGCCCTTGGTGGCCTCAGCTACCAAGTCCTTAATTAATGGGAGGGGGTAAGCATTGGACAAAGAAACAGCGTTCAAACCCCTATAGTCAGTGCACAACCTAAGCCCCCCGTCCTTCTTCTTTCGGAAAAGTACAGGCGCGGCGAAAGGGGAGGAAGCCGGGCGAATGAAACCTCGGGCTAGGTTTTTATCAATAAAGTTCCGCAGTTCGACTTTTTCAGCCGGCCCCATCGCATAAATTTTACCTTTGGGTAATTTACAGTCAGGCAAAAGT